TAGTAACAAGTGCCTTACTAGTAGTAACAAGAAGCTATTAGTAACAACTTTGAAGGTTTGAAGAAAAGAAGGACACAACATCTGAAACAGAAAGAGCTGTGATTACTTGCTTCAATGGAATGCCGGAAACACACGAACAAACCCTCGTCCTTTCTATGAGGCCAAGCACTCTGTTCTCTTTGGAATGTTTTCTGCACGCGCCCCTAGTAGCGTCCTTGCTCCTAGTAGCAAGGCCAGGAGCCCCTAGTAGCATCCTTGCTCCTAGTAGTAAGGCCAGGAGCTAGTAGCGAACATTGCTCCTAGTAGCGATGCCCTTTGCTCCTAGTAGCTTGGGCGTTACACTTAGGCGTTGCCTCAAGAAGCAATGCACCGGATCCTGTCGAGCATCCTAGGCGCAGAATCCGAGCATCCACAGTCAGGGTTTCGTTGAGTGTTTTTCGACCACATCACTGGTGTTTTTCGGTAGGCCGCTAGTAGCCTATCAATATCAAGTAAGGGATACGTCATAGCTTGAGTAGTTTCTTAGGCAAACCACGCAGAAAGGGTTCAGGCTTCTTCAAGGAAGCTCTCTCCGCCTGAGTTTCCTTGAACACGTCTGAACCTTAATGTTTAGATTCCTAGATGGCCATTGCTACTAGGCTGGAGGCCATCGCTACTATAGTTACTAGGGTGCCACGTGGGGTCAAGACTTAGCTTGACTTTTCGCTCCTGGTGCCACGCGGCAACTTGGCTCAAATGACCAAGAAACCACAAAGACAACATGTTGAAATGCGGCAACAAATAAAGACGCCAGACATCGTCGAAGCAACAAAAGAAGCATCCTTTGTGCAACCACCTTCTCAGTGCAACGGTGACCCGGGCATTTTTGCCGAACCTTGGTTGCATGGAGGCAGCTTTCACTAGGAACAAGTGCATCGCTTCTAGTAACAAGTGCCTTACTAGTAGTAACAAGAAGCAGAAACAAAGGCATCGCTACTAGGAACAAGAATGACGAGTCTAGGTTTACCATGGCTTCACAACAAACTACGCCGCTACGCTCGGTGGCGCGTGTACGGCATATGATAAGGGATTCGGTAGACAAGTCGTAGACACGTTGAAGAATGCTGCACTTGAATGTGTCTGTCTGTGGAACAACAGTGCCCTTGCTTCCTAGGCTCGCCTGTACAGAATGAACGGTGGCGGAAGCGGCTGGTTTGGAGGTGGCGGAAGCAGCAGCAGCTACACCGGCATCTCGGTGTGAAATACAGTGTTTCGTTTTCGTAAGTGCAGAGGATTCTGTGACATGTTTTAGATATTTCTGCAAATGAGTTGGAGGCCATCGCTCTTAGATTGGAGGCCATCACTAGTATTCCAAAACGTTTCAAAAGGGGCCCAGGGGCCAGAGGGCAAGTTGGCTCCACTCTTGGCTTGTGATGTCCTTGTGATTGAGGAGGTGGCACATACAGCGGAAACTACAATGAAGGGAGCTATGGATATGGGAACTATGGCAACGACATGCCATGGAATGGAGGTGCAGCAGAGACGGGTATGGTTCAAGTGTTGTCAAGCGCTAGGTGGTGATGAGCTTGGCAAGAGCCGTTTCCACGTGAAGAACCCAAGCTCCACTGTATCCTTCCATGTATTGGCTTCATCTTTGCTACTTAGCTTTACTTGGCTACTTAGCTTTCTAGTACTGCTACTACAACCACCACTACCACCTACTTACTACTTACTACTTACTACCTACTACTTACTACCTACTACTACTACTACTACTACTACCACTAACCACTTACCACTTACCACTTACCACTTACTACTTACTACTTACTACTTACTACTTACTAACTACTACTACTACTACTACTACTACTACGACTACGACTACGACTACGACTACCACTTACTACTTACTACTTACTACTTACTGCTACTAACAGCTAACTGACTATGAAGTATGCGGCACGTAGATGGCCTCGCCTTTGGCGCGTGGGAATTGCCTTTTTCACCGCGCCTGCAGTGTGTTGAACCCGCCTGCGAGGTCCACACCAGGGCCGCGTTTCAGTTGCAAACGCGACAGCCCTGCGAACCTCAAAACGTCATACAAACAAGTGCCTTACTAGTAGTAACAAAGAAGCTACTAGGAGCAAAAGGCATCGCTACTAGGAACAAGTGCCTTACTAGTACTAGTAGTAACAAAGAAGCTACTAGGAGCAAAGGGCATCGCTACTAGGAACAAGTGCCTTACTAGTAGTAACAAAGAAGCTACTAGGAGCAAAGGGCATCGCTACTAGGAACAAGTGCCTTACTAGTAGTAACAAAGAAGCTACTAGGAGCAAAGGGCATC